CGCGGCGCGTCACCGACGCCAGCCTGGCCCCGCGCTGCTTCCGCATCCACCACTACGCCGGCAAGGTCCGGCAGCGCCTGATCCTCTTCCCAGTAGCCTGATCCTCTTCCCAGCTCCCTGATCCTCTTCCCAGTGCCCCGATCCTCTTCCCAGTGCCCCGATCCTCTTCCCAGTACCCCAATCCTCTTCCCAGCTCCCTGATCCTCTTCCCAGTGCCCTGATCCTCTTCCCAGTGCCCTGATCCTCTTCCCAGTACCCTGATCCTCTTCCCAGTGCCCCGATCCTCTTCCCAGTGTCCCCATCCTCTTCCCAGTACCCTGATCCTCTTCCCAGTGCCCCGATCCTCTTCCCAGTGTCCCCATCCTCTTCCCAGTGCCCCAATCCTCTTCCCAGTGTCCCCATCCTCTTCCCAGTGTCCCCATCCTCTTCCCAGTACCCCGATCCTCTTCCCAGTACCCCGATCCCGATGCCCCGATCCTCTTCCCAGTGCCCCAATCTTCTTTCCAGTGCCCTGATCGGCTTCTCGATGACCTGATCCTCTTCCCAGTGCCCCAAACCTCTTTCTAGTGTCCTTATCCTCTTCCCAGTGCCTCCATCCTCTTCCCAGTGTCCTGATGCTCTTTCCAGCTTCCTGATCCATTTCCCAGCTCCCTGATCCTCTTCCCAGTGCCCCAATCCCAACGTCCCGATCCTCTTCCCAGTGCCTCCCAATCCTCTTCTCAGTGCCCAATCCCAGTGCCCCAATCTTCTTCCTAGAACCATAATCCTCTTCCCAGTGTCCTGATCCTCTTTCCAGCTCCCTGATCCTCTTCCCAGAGCCCCAGTTTTCTTCCCAGTGCCCTGGACCTTTCTCCAGCCCCCCAGACCTGTTCCCAGCACCCCTTGATCCTTTTCCCAGTGCCCTAATCTTCTTCCTAGTGCCCCAATCCTCTTCTCAGTGCTCCAATCTTCTTCCTAGAACCATGATCCTCTTCCCAGCTCCCTGATCCTCTTCCCAGTGCCCCAATCCTCTTCCCAGTACCATAATCCTTTTCCCAGTGCCCTAATCCTTTTCCCAGTGCCCCAATCCTCTTCCCAGCTTTGCACAGGAGATGTGAGGCCGGACCAGGAACAGAGTCGCTGAACCGTGCCCCACTCCCGACCCCACTGTCCCCACAGGTGACCTACAACGTCACGGGCTTCATCGAGAAGAACAACGACCAGCTCTTCCGCGACCTCTCGCAGGCCATGTGGGCAGCCCGGCACACGCTGCTGCGCTCGCTYTTCCCCGAGGGAGACCCCCAGAAGGTCTCACTGAAGCTGCCACCCACCGCGGGCTTCCAGTTCAAGTCATCCGTTGCCATGCTGATGAAAAACCTCTACTCCAAAAACCCCAACTACATCAGGTACACCCCAGTGGTGACCCCACGGGCGCGGCTCCGGCACTCACGACACCCACAAAACCCCAAACCTCGCTCTGCAGGTGCATCAAACCCAACGACACCAAATCGGCCATGGTGTTCACGCCGGAGCTGGTGCTGGCTCAGGTGCGCTACCTGGGGCTGATGGAGAACGTGAGGGTGCGGCGGGCGGGCTACGCTTTCCGCCAGCTCTACGGCCCCTTCCTGCARCGCTACAAAATGCTCAGCCCCCGCACGTGGCCCCGTTGGGACGGCGGTGACAGGTACGGGATGGGCACGGATTGTGGGGTCTGGGGTGGTTCTGGCCGGGCTCTGACCGGCCTCGTCTGTGCCGTGGTGCAGGGAGGGTGCTGAGGTGCTGCTGGAGAGTCTGGGGCTCCCCGCTGAGGAACTGGCGTTTGGCCACACCAAGATCTTCATCCGCTCGCCACGCACCGTGAGTCTGGGAATGGGGAAGTTTGGAGGGGATCCAAATCATCCTGGGAGTTCCTGGGTGATGCCACAACCCATGGAGATGGCTCAGGGTGACCTGGCTGCTCAGTGACACTGTGCTTGTCACGGTTGTCCCCAGCTCTTCGATCTGGAGCGGCAACGTCAGGAACGCGTTGGTCAGCTCGCCACCCTCATCCAGAAAATGTTCCGGGGCTGGCGGTGCCGGACCCAGTACCAGCTGATGCGCAAGAGCCAGATCCTCATCTCCGCCTGGTTCCGAGGCCACAGGGTGAGGATAAGCCGGGTCCTGGTCACGCTTGTCCTGCTCACCCCGAGCCCCTCCAGCTCACTCCTTCCTTCCCCTGCAGCAAAAGAACCAGTACAAGCAGATGAAGCGGTCAGCGCTGATCCTGCAGGCGTACGCGCGGGGCTGGAAGGTGAGGGCTGGACATCCCCAGCGGGACCGGCCGGTGTGGGCAGCGGGGTGGGCAGCGGGGTGGACAGAGACAGGGGCTCCGTGTGCCCCACGGTGGGGACCAGGTGTCCGCGCGTCCCGTGACGGGACCAGGTTCACCCTCATCTCCTCTCCCCGTCTTTCCTCCTCCTCTCCCGCCTCTCTCTCTCTCTCTCTCTCCCGCCTCTCGCTCTCGCTCCGTGTCTGTGTTGGTGTCTCCCCCTCGGGCTCCCCGGGCTCTCACCCCCGCAGTCTCGCCGGCTCCTCCGGGAGCTGAAGCACCAGCGCCGATGTCACGCAGCCGCCAGCACCATCGCCGCTCACTGGAGAGGGTACCAGGTAACGGGGCCGCGCGCCCTCCGGCCACCTCTGTCCTGCTGTCCACACCGCTGTGTCCGGGCTGTCTGTCTGTCTGCCCACCCTGTCGGGCTGGAGCCGCTTGTCCTCTCCGCTGGGGTCAAATGGGGACGGGAGGATGTTGGGGATGTTGGGGACATTGGGGACGTGGGGGATGTGGGGGATGGGACATTTTCATCCTTTGTGGGGTTGGTGGTGATGTCCGGTGTCCTCACCACCGATGCCATGTCCGCAGGTGCGCAGGACMTACAGGAGGTGTTTCCGTGCCGGCGCCAGCTCCTGCCTGGCCAACTTCATCTACCGGCGGCTGGTGAGCAGGGCTGGGGTCTAGAGGGACACGGCGCCTTTCCCAGCCCCCTAACCTGGTGCTGGACCCTCGGTCCTTTCCTTGACATCCCATTTTGTCACCCCCAGGTGCAGAGATACCTGGCGGGGCTGGCGAAAAACCTCCCGCCGCTATCGGTGACCGACCGGACCTGGCCGTCGGCGCCGTACAGATTCCTGGATGACGCCAACATGGAGCTGAAAAACATCTTCTACCGCTGGAAGGTGGGAGCAGGGGGAGACAGAGGGAATTCCAGTTGGGATTTTGGTGAATCAGCTCACCCCGGGGGTCTTCAGCGGCACCAAACCCCCCTCCTTTGACAGTGCAAGAAGTACCGGGACCAGCTGCCACCATCGCGCCGGACGCAGCTGCAGGCCAAGCTCTGCGCCAGCGAGCTCTTCAAGGACAAGAAGACCCTCTACCCAAAAAGGTGCCAGGGTTAGGGGTTGGGGGCACGGGGGAGGCTCGGGGCAGCGGTGGCTGACGGCCTCGTCCCCAGCCTGCAGCAGCCTTTCCGCGGGGAGTACCTGGGGCTGAAGCAGAACCCCAAGTACCAGAAGCTCCACGCCGTGGCCAAGGACAAGCTGGTGATGGCCGACGC